TCAAATTCCACCATCTGCCATGGCAGAATTTGAACCAGAACATTATCTGCATCTCTGTATTAATAGTCCAGCGATAATACCACCAGGCCATCATCTCCCACCTCTATACCTTTGTTCTTTCTATCAAAGTGCATAACTCACACTTTCCCACATTGTATTCCATCTGCTACTTCTTTGCCCACTCTCCTAGCATGTTCAATTCCTTCTGCAGCTTCCCCACTTCCCCTGCACTGCCTGTCCCTCCACCTACCTTTGTGTCATCTGAAAACATACAAAAATGTCTTCAGTTCCTTCATCTAGATCATCAATGCATAATGTGAACAGTTATGGTCCCAACACTGACCTCTGTGGAACTCCACTGGTCACTGGCTGCCATCCTGAAAAAGACCCTTTTATCCCCACTCTCTGCCTTCTGTCCTTCAGCCATTTCTTTATCCATGCCAGTATCTTGCCCCTAACATCATGGGCTCTTATTTAGCAGTTTCTTGTGCAGCACCTTATCAAAGTCCTTCAGAAAACAGATCAGATCCACTGGTTCTCCTTTGTCTAACTTGCTCATTACCTCCTGAAAGAAGTCTATCAGATTTTTCAGGCATGACCTTGACAAAGTCATGATGACTCAGACCTATTTTACCATGCACATCCATGTACTCCGCAATTTCATCCTCCATAATGGACTCTAAAATCTACCACCCTATAATTTCCCGTCTTCTGCCTCCCTCCCTTCTTAAACAAGGGTGTTATATTGTATGTTTTCCTGTCCTTTGGGACCCTCCCTGACTCCACCAATTCCTGAAAGATCACCACCAATGCCTCTACAATCTCCTTCAGGGTGCAGTCAATCTGGTCCAGGTGGTTTATCTACCTTCCAATCTTCCACCTTACCCTGCACCTTATCCTTACTGATGTCCACTATACTCACCTCTGCCTCCTGACACTCTTGAAGTTCTGGCATGCCGCTGGTATTTTCCACTGTGAAAACTTGATTCAAAGGACATATTCAGTTCCTCCACCATTTCTTTGTCCCCCATTACTAGCTTTCCAGCCTCATTTTCCAATGGTCCAATATCCATTCTTACTTCTCTCTTACTCTTTATATATCTAAAAACTGCTTGCAATCTTCTTTTATATTACTAGCTAATGTACCCTCATATTTCATCTTCCCACCAGCCCCCCCCCAACTTACTGCTTCTCCCCACTTATTGCTTTTTTAGTTGTCCTCAGCTGGTTTTTAAAAGCATCCCAGTCCTCTGGCTTCCCTTGAGTCTTTTGCTTTAATCCTGTCCCTGACTTCCCTGGCCAGTCATGGTTGCCTTATCCTCCCCTTAGTTTGTTTTTCTTCCATGGAATGCATTTCTGTTGTACCTCCTCAATTACCTCCAGAAACTCCTGCCATTACAGCACCACTGTCTTCCCTGCTAGGTTTTCCTACCAATCAACTAGCCAGCTCTTCCCTCATGTCATTACCTTTACTCAACTGTAATACCATTAGATCTGATTCTAGTTTCTCCCTCTCAAACTGCAGGGGGATTTCTATCGGATCATGGTCCCAGAAATTATTGTAACTCTCACAATTTATTAGCTACAAACATTTTAAGAGTTTGAGTGAGAGCACCAACAATCTTCCTCAAACTTTATCAAAGGCAAAAGTGAGTAAACCTCCTGATAAGAAAGCCACCATGGATGGGAAAAGAATTTATTACTATAATATCTTTGGTAACAAAAGCAGCCTCTTTATCACATTTGGGACTTTGGTCAGCAGTTTATTTGCAGCTCCTCAATCAGCATTGTTACAATATCACTGGTGCAGAGGGTAATTGAATGGTTTCAAATCTTTTTATTCTGTATGAAGGGTGTGGTGGAGGGAGAATAAAGAGCATTACTGCTGAGGAGTATTCTGTGGCTTTCCAGGAGAAAGGCCTAAGAAGGCTAGTCTATTAGCTACTCAATGGGTTCTCTACCTGTAGTATGTTGTATCTCCATTCTAGTTGTTCTGTGCTGCATTCAAATCAATTCTTGCCTGTCAACAGTGGATTTTTGAGAATAAGATGATGGATGAAGGGGAAACAGTACCTGAAGAGAGGGGATTGATTTTAATGTTGCCTAGAATGGGGCCAGGAAGCAAAGTTGAATGCTCAGATATTGGAAACAACATCAAGAGAGAAGGCAGTAAGTCTCTTTGACAATTGATGAACTCAGAGAGGGAGAATGAAGGCCAATAACATAGAAAATAGAAAATGATGCTGGTTTAGTTCAAGGGAGGTTTTGGGTTGGGAGTCCACAGTTGGGAGGTGGGAGGTGGAGAGGGATGGGGGAATCTAGCTCGTGTACAAACTGAAGAGAATGGCACAGTAGGCATGGCTGAATGAATGGTCTTGACATTAGAGCAGGAGTAACAGCAATCATGTTAATGGTGGAAAAATATTTAGAGAAAAGCAGACTGGAATATTTACCAGTCGCAATGGCATTAAAATCCTATTAACTTGATGATCTGTGGTGCATTTACCTTTAAATGCAGCTTCTCGTCATATCAGCAGATATCCAGCATCTGAAGTAATTTGCTTTTTCATTCATGTCACTTTTGAAACACAAGCTTGTGATACTACATTCTCCCAAAATGGCAGCAGAGTAGGACTCCTGAGCCAGACCTAGTCCACTCAGACTGTTTCTTATCTTTTTTTCTCTCTTTTTGCATTTCTTTTCTTTTTATCTCCTGTTGTGGGGCAGCATTGGCAATGTCCGTCATGAAAGCCAGTGCAGACTCCCGGCCTTAGCATGGACCCAAACTCCCGGCCTCAGCGAGGGCTCAAACTCCCGGCCTCAGCATGGGCTCAAACTCCCGGCCTCAGCGTGTGCTCAAACTCCCGGCCTCAGCGTGGGCTAAAACTCCTGGCTTTAGCGTGGACTCAAACTCCTGGCCTCAGCGTGGGCTCAAGCTCTGGCCTCAGTGTGGGCTCGAACTCCCAGCCTTAGCGTGGACTCAAACTCTGGCCTCAGCGTGGACTCAAACTCCCGGCCCTAGCATGGACTCGGAATTCCTGCCCTTAGCGTGGACTCAAACTCCTGGCCTCAGCGTGGACTCAAACTCCCCGCCTCAGTGTGTACTCAAACTCCCAGCCTCAGCATGGACTAAAACTCCTGGCTTTAGCGTGGACTCAAACTCCCAGCCTCAGCGTGTGCTCAAACTCCCAGCCTCAGCGTGGGCTAAAACTCCCGGCTTTAGCGTGGACTCAAACTCCCGGCCTCAGCGTGGGCTCAAACTCCAGCCTCAGCCTGGACTTGAACTCCTGGCCTCAGTGTGGGCTCAAACTCTGGCCTCAGCGTGGGCTCGAACTCCCAGCCTTAGTGTGGACTCAAACTCTGGCCTCAGTGTGGGCTCGAACTCCCAGCCTTAGCGTGGACTCAAACTCTGGCCTCAGCGTGGACTCAAACTCCCGGCCTTAGCATGGACTCGAATTCCTGCCCTTAGCGTGGACCTCAAACTCCTGGCCTCAGCGTGGACTCAAACTCCCGGCCTCAGCCTGGACTCAAACTCCCGGCCTCAGCCTGGACTCAAACTCCCGGCCTCAGC